ATAGATTTTTTTCATGAGTCTTTTAAATAGCAGATATGAATCAATTATTATCTTTCTATATGGAACAAAAATTACATGCACTTTTTGGATTTTTATTAATAAGAATCATGTATGTATTTTATTAATTTAGAACTACAGATTCTTTTCAAGAATATTTTAAATAGCATATATGAATCAATTATTACCTTTACGGGCACTTTTTTGGTACTCTTTTAGTATTAAATTAACAATTTTTTTTTTGGTAAATAATAAACTTAATTCTTTTGGCAAATAAAAAACAAAATCTTTTAGCAAAGAATATAATAATAGTAAACTTAAGAGATAATAATAAACTTTAGTAATAATTTCACTGAAAAATGTGGCATATTTTAATTTTAATAATTTATTTTTATCTTAAGAATTTGAAAAAAATATACTGCATACATAACTTTCACATTATTAAAAATCTTGGAAAAAAGCATTTTTTTAGAAATATAAAAAGTATTTGTCTGACAGATTATTTTCTCTAGAAATTTATTCACGAAAAAATATTTCCAATGGTGATTTATCTTCTTTGAAGTCATTTTCTAGTTTTCAATCATTCATATATGTAAATTCAATGATACTAAAGAAATGAGATGCTAAGAAAATATTTGTAATACCAAAAAAAAAAAAAAAAAAAATTATGCAAGAGTTCAAAACTGAATCATGAAGTAAAATTGAAAATTATTCCAATATTAAAATCACAGTTCCTTCCATCTTTGGCAGAATGTAAAGAAAAAGAAAGAAGAAATCAATCTTCATATTTTATATTTATTTTTCTCAGTCTGTGGCATTAAGTACCTAGTTTTCCAAATCAATTGAAAAAAAATCTAAGAACTCAATCAATATGAGGTTTTATTCGTTTTCTGGAATAGAGGTGATTATTTCCAAATGTTAAACTCAAACTCATAAAATATTTTGATCTTGAACTTTTTAAAACGTCCTAAGAATGAATATAATCAAGAAAACGTGTAGAACTTTTTAAAGAAAGAAATTTCTTCTCGCCGGTTTTAATAAGGAAGAAAAAAATAATAATTTAAACCTTCTTTACTATCCACCTTTTATTTATCATAAAAAAACAGATTGTTCATTTGATTTTATAAATTAGGATTAACTTTCTTATATCTTTTTTTTTTATTATTAAAGATTAAAATCTTGTTAACGATCAAAAATCTCTAAGCCCAATAGTTCAAGAGAAAAAAAGGATTTTATTCATTAAAAAAACGTAATTTCATTTCGTTTTTTATTTTTATTTTTATTTTTGTTCCTTCTTAAACTTCATTTGAATATTTTTATGTATGTATAAATTAGATATTTTACTAATAAATTGCTACTGAATAATAAACTTCCGCAGCATCAATTAATAACTAGAAAGATGAAACTTATAAGCCTTATAAAAACATTTATAACTGATTTAATTTTTATTTAATTTAATTACTTTAATTAGTTATTTTTAATTAATTTATTTTGATCTAATTTATAACTAACATAAAAACATGCATAACTAAATAAAATTATTCGATATAAAAGAACTTCAATTTTATAAATATTTAATAATAAAATTCAATTAATTAGAATTCAATTTTATAATAAAAAGTCTAATTTTTCCGTGTGTATTATTTTTATTACAAGTAGCGTTAATGCTTTGGAAAGCTTATATAATAGTCTTTTTAATGATTGTGGTATATTTATCAAGTCGATTTTATTAATTAATCATATATTATTTTTATTAACTCAGCATATATTATTTTTTATTAACTAAGCATATATTATTTTTTATTAACTAAGCATATATTATTTTTTATTAACTAAGCATATATTATTTTTTATTAACTAAGCATATATTATTTTTTTATTAATTTAGATCTACAGATTCTTTTTAAGAATATTTTAAGTAGCAGATATGAATCAATCATTATCTTTCTGTATGTAAGAAAATATTACATGGACTTTTTGTTATTAGATTGTTAATAAATTTATTTTTTCGCAAATAATACAGTAATAATAAATTTTAGAGATAATAATAAACTTTAGTAATAATTCCTCTCAAAAATGTGGCATATTTCAATTTTTTTTTTTTTTTTTTATGAATTAGAATAAATTATATTTCATACACAACTTTCACATTATACAAAGTTATGTGAAAAAAAAAATTTTTTTTCTTTAGAAATATAAGAAGTATTTGTTAGACAGATTATTTTCTCTAGAAATTTATTCACTAAAAATTTCCAATGATGGTTTATCTTCTTTGAAGTCATTTTCTAGTTTTCAATCATTCATATATGCAAATTCAATGATACTAAAGAAATGAGATGCTAAGAAAATATTTGCAATACTAAAAAAAAAATTATTTAAAAAAAAAAATTATGCAAGAGTTCAAAACTGAATCATGAAGTAAAATAAAAATTATTCCAATATTAAAATCACAGTTTCTTCCATCTTTGGCAGAATGTGAAGAAAAAGAAAGAAGAAATCAATCTTCAAAATTTATATTTATTTTTCTCGGTGTGTGGCATTAAGTACCTAGTTTTTCAACTCAATTGAAAAAAAATCTTAGAACTCAATCAATATGAGGCTTTATTTGTTTTCTGGAATCAAGGTGAATATTTCTAAATGTTGAACCAACTTCCAACTAATAAAATATTTTTGATCTAGGACTTCTTTTAACGTCTAAAGAATGAATATAATCAAGAAAATGTGTAGAACTTATAAAAGAAAGAAAAATTTCATCTCGCCAGTTTTAACAGGGAGGAAAAAATTAATAATTTAAAACTTCTTTAAAATTCACCTTTTATTTATCATAAAAAAACAGATTTTTCATTTGATTTTATAAATGAATATTAACTTTCTTAGTTCTGATTTTCATCATTAAAGATTTAAATCTTGTTAACGATCAAAAACTAAACTAAGCACAATAATTAACACAATATGTATAAAATAGATATTTTATTAATAAATTGCTTATACTGAATCATAAACTTCCGAAGCATTAATTAATATCTAGACAGATAAAACATATAAGCCGTATAAAAACATTTAAAACTGATTTAATTTAATTACTTTTATTAATTACTTTTAATTAATTTATTTTCATCTAATTTATAGCTAACATAAAAAACATTTATAACTGAATAAAGCTATTTTTTTTTTCAGCGCTTGGCTTCAAATGAAAAAGTCAAAATTTTCCGTGTATATTATTTTTATTACAAGCGGCGTTAATACTTTGGAAAACTTATATAATAGTTTTTTTAATGGCTGTGGTATATTTATCAAATCGATTTTATTAATTAATCATAAATTATTTTTTATTAACTAAGCATATATTATTTTTTTTATCAAATTTGATCTACAGATTCCTTTTAAGAATCTTTCAAATAACAGATAGGAATCAATTATTAGAGAGTTTTTGCATACCGTATTTCGGACGTCCGTTAGCTTTTTCTCCCTGGCGCGCATGCTCATAGGAAATTGCGCATGCGTTATCTGTAATAATATTTCATATGAGCATGCGCGCTAGGGAGAAAAAGCTAACGGAAGTCCAAAATACCGTATGCAAAAACTCTCTATTATCTTTAGGTATGAAAGCATATATTACATGCACTTTTTGGTACTCTTTTGATATTAGATCGATAACAAATTTATTTTTTGGAGTATAATATAATAATAATAAAATTTAGCGATAATAATAAGCTTTAGTAATAATGCCACTCAAAAAATGTGGCGTATTTCAATTTTAATAATTTTTTATTTTTTATTTTATGATTTCAAATAACGCTGTGTGTTCTCAAACCAAAATTTTTCTCAACTCTAAACTTTCACTTAGAAAAACATTTATAGCCAAATAAAACTATTCGATATAGAAGAACTTCAATGTTACTTTTTTTATTTATTTTTTTTTTATTTATTTATTTTTTGCGTTTAGCTTCAAATAAAAAACTAAGATTTTTTCCGTGTATCCTATTTTTGTTCTAAATGGTTATTAATACTCTGGAAAGCTTACATAAAAGTTTTTTAATAATTGTGATATATTTATCAAATCGATTTTAGTTATTTTAAAGTTATAGTGTTGTGGGTTGTGCATCTAGGTGTGGTTGGGGCACACTTGAGATATAGGTTTGAGAACACACAGCTATGTTGACACCCTCACAACACCACATACACACAATTAGAGATATACAATATTTAACTTATTTAAAGACATGTAATTATAGATTCATGGAAGGACTCATTTCTAAGCCGAAAACCCGAAACTCGGAAATGCGCAGACTCTCCGGGTGAGAGTCTGTAGGCCAACTGCCCATTTCTCCTGAAAGCCACAGGGAGAGCTCTTGCAGTGCGTGGGAGGAAGCACGGTTACAAGGCTCATAATATTGATGCATTGAAAAAGTATCTATGTGAAGTTACTGGCATTCGTGGTCGAATGGGAAGAAAAGAAAAAGAAAACGTGCAAAACCGAAGTCTAACGTAAGGGTTAACCAGTTCTGGAAAGGAAGATCTATAAACTTTGAACTCTTCACCATTGTCTATATAGTTTATTTTGGAAGAACATGGTGGATCCTTACAACGTAGTCTATTTGATTCAGTATCGTTTCATGGTAGAAACAATTACTTCTTTAAATGATAATTCGAAACTTCTAGCTGCCACATTTATTTAAATTTGCAAAGATATCACTACACAACTCCAACACATAACATACAAAACGAAATTATATAACAAATATTTACAAAATCATCTTAAAGGCCAGTTCGTTTAAGGGTCTTCGTAGCCTCTATAATGCCTGGAACTCTTCACTCAACTATCCACTCCCTTTTTTCCTCCATCTCTCTGTTTCCAAGACCCTAATTCTTAAGACCATTTTATTTAGCAATGAAATTATTGCATATATTATTTTACATCCAATATTTGACGGGCTTAATTCGTCCATTAAAATTTTAGGAGATTTAACACATTCAACATAGTTTTCGATTACTATTTATCTTCTCGTTACATCACCAAAGTCAAGCATCATTGGCGCGGTCAGTACTTGGGTGGGTGACCACCTGGGAACAACGCGTGCCGTTGGCATTCACAAATTTGGGACTTGAATGGCCGAGTGTCTAGCGCTCTGGCGTTCGGTGCCACAGGTTTCGGGTTCGAATCCCGGCGGTGCCATGGATGTTTGTAGTGGTTCCGAATCCACTTTAAGCCGTAGGTCCCGGTCTCCTATGACTGTAAGAGCGTCACGGAGCCAAAGTCAGACTTCTACCTACGGGTGCTCCATCACAACAGAAGCTGCTTCCTTCCCCTTCAACCATGAGTACGTATGGGCTCGTGGGCTTGGACAGCCAAGTGGGATAAGAAACAACAACATTTATCTTCAATTGTAAACTCATCCGTCCGTAGCAGGCCTTCTACATTTAAAAAGTAAAGTTCTGTACAATGTTTTGTTTCGCCTTATACATATCTGGACTGAAGATGGTTTTTTTTCTTTTTTTTCTCCGAACAATACAACAAATAGTTATAATTATATATATATATATGTAACAAATAGTTACAAAGTCCCCTTAAAAGCTAGTTTGCTTAAAGGTTTTTGAACCTTCCTTACTGCCTGGAACTCTTCACTCAACTGTCCACTCCCTTTTTTCTCCCTCTCTCTCTCTCTCCAAGACCTGCCTTTTAAGGCCTTCTATTTAACAAGGAAATTATTGCATATATTATTTTACATCAAACATTTAATAGTTATTCGTTCAGTTATTTGAATTAAACATACGCTAATTCAAATTTTAGGTGATTTATAGTACACATAAAATAGAATTTAATTATTATTAATCTTCTGTTCTAAACTCCTCCATCAGTGGCAGGTCTTCTACATTTAAAAAGTTAAATTCTGTACAATGTTTCGTTTCGCCTTATGCATTTCTGAACTGAAGTTTTTTTTTTCCCCTTTTCTTTTTTTTTTCCCGAAACAATCATTCCAAAGTAGAACTCGAAAGAGGCTCTTTGCCGTTTCGAACTTTCAGGTTTAGTGCAATTTCGCGAGAGTTTACGTCTTGCTGAAAGTCGAATTTATTTCAGATATTTATTTTCTCACTTTTACCAAACCTTTCAGAGGCCATTCTGCGACTTATAAACTGATTTTATATACTTTCTTTCTTTCTTTTCCCCGTCTCTGGAAAGGCAGTAAATTTGCTAGATTTGATCTCTGAAAACTTTTAGTGACAGCTTCTTTTGTGACGGTTTAAGGTTTTTTGTAATGTTTGTTTTAAATATGTATACAAAATATATACTTTATTTTAAATAGTTTTCTACCAAAAAGAATTTCTTACTTAAGAGAATATAATCATTTAAAAAATACTCAAAAATTGGAAATTTTAAATAATTTCTAATTAAAATGAATTATCCCTTCATTTTTAGAATAAAAATATCATTATTAAAAACGTTATATTATCATTTTAATTTACTGCACAATTTTTTTTATAATTTCTTTTATTTTGTTTTACGTTTTATTTATTGTTATTTTTTTATGCATTATGTTTCAGATATTAAAAATGTTTATTGTGTTTCTGTATATCATATCATAAGGGTTGTTTCATTTTGTATATTGCGTAATTTAAGACATATTTTTTGAGTAATTTCTTAATATTAATGAATAGTTTATTAGATTGTCTTGAGTTATCACTAAAAATTTTATATGTGAAATTGTATTTATCATTAATATAAAAATAGTTTAATTGAAGTTTGTTATTGAAACGCGGAACCTGTGTATTCGAAGTTCATAAAAAATCTTTGAAAAAACGTTTTTTTTAATTACTGGATTATCCGTCCAGGACTGGGTCATGTTGACCATTTCCCTACGAGAAGCCCAATGCGGGCTGACCGACGAACGCAGTTACTCATTCAGCCCTACCCAGGGGTAACTGTAGCTTAAAGTTATGCTACGGACACGACTACCCTCACAACGCTCTACAGTCAAGCAAAACTGGGACCTACGATTTAAAATGGTTCCATACCACTACAAACATCCATGGCACCGCTGGGACTCAGACCCGAAACCTAAGTCACCGAGCGCCAAAGCCCTAATCATTCGGCCAACAAGCCTCTCTTTGAAAAAAATATTAAAAAAGCATTCATTTAACAATTTTTATTATTATGTTATTCAATTTTATACATTATTTTTATTTAGTGTTTTTCAATATTTACCATAGTAAATACAATTTTTTTAATTCAATCAACAAAAAATTAAACCCTGTTTCATATAAATTTGTTTCTTCTATTTAGCCCTCCTCTATTGAACTTTTTTTTGTTTATTTCAATAGCATTTAATTATTCTCGGATGTTTGTTTTCAAAATACAACAGATTACTAAATGCTTGGGTAGTCAGTTCGTAATATGAATATACTACAATGAAATAATTTATTTACCTTAAAGTTAAGTCACTAAATTGTTTTTAAATATCTTAAGATACTTTAATTTTTCTTTCCAAATGTTACATTCTTAAAGAACAAAAAAAGATATATTAATATCTCTGATGCCTTAGCAGTCTGAAATCTTAGTAGTACAGTAAATAGTTGCAATAGCTAAGAGATTTCTTAAAATATTTAATCTACTCTATAAATAACCACAAAATCCAAATAAATCTTTGTATTTAAGAGATATTTAAAAATTTCATATAGTCAGGTAAGTTATACACTGAGATGTGATTTGAATACTAAATATAAATCCTTTGGCAAGAATTTAATCTACTCTATAAATAACCGAAAAATCCAAATAAATCTTTGTATTTCTGAGACACTTAAAAATTTCAAATAGTCAGGTACGTTATACACTGCGGTGGGATTTGAATAATAAATATAAATCATTTGGCAATAATTTAATCTACTCTATATACAACCACAAAATTCAAATAAATCTTTGTATTTAAGAGATATTTAAAAATTTCAAATAGTTAGTTAAGTTATACACTGAGGTGTGATTTTAATAATAGACATAAAATTTTTAGCAAGAATTTAATTTACTCTATAAATAACCACAGAATCTAAATAAATCTTTATATTTCAAAGATACACAAAAATTTCAAATAGTCAGGTAGGTTATACACTGAGATGTGATTTGAATAATAAATACAAATCATACAGCAAGACTTAATCTACTCTATAAATAACCACAAAAAGCCAAATAAATCTTTATATTTCAGAGTTACTTAAAAATTCCAAATATTCGGGTACGTTATACATAGGGGAGGACACATTTGAATACCGAGCATAAATCCTTTTGCAAGGATTTTCGTTATGCAAAGCTTCTGGCAGCATTGATCTAAAACGACCCACAACAAAGGTTTGGTCTCTTGGAGGGGAACAAAGGAATAGAGCGGAGAAGCTACTCTCAGAGATATCGATTGCTGATCTTTTTTTATCCGGTTTTTTTCCCCAGCATTTTTCAAAGATCCTTTCTGAACCATCAGTGCCGGAGTTTTTCCGGAAGTAAATCCGATTTTCTATGTTCGGGTAATGTCATTTAGAATTCGTGATGGTAGCTGGAATCGTTAGGTAAAGGTCACATTGCGCGGTTTCTATAGAAATACGAGACTTCAACTGAAATGTTGTCTTATTTTTTTTTTTTAATTTAGCTTCTTTCTTATTTCACTTGTCGTTAGAGGTTATAGTTAAATGTTAACTTGTTAGATAGAAAGTAATTTATAATATTTCCTTTGTAGTTTAGAATCAAGTTAATGTTCATATTAAGTAAAACTTCGTTTTTGGTAGGTAATCATTCATTGTGGTGTCTTTATTCAGTTCAGTTTCTTAACCTTTGAGAGTCCATTTTTCTTGTTTTCTTGTTTAATTCCTTTTTTTCTCAAAAGCCTTCTCTCTATACAGGTTGAAACTATTGGATTTAATAGAGTAATGTATATATCGCCTTATATGATGCAAAAGTTAAAGAGGATCAGATTGCATCACTTGTGATCCATTCTTGACCAACCTATCAGCCTGTTCATTTTTATATATTTCGCAATGCCTTAGAATACACT